CTCTTAGAGAGAACGCACGAGGGTAAAGACAAAACATGAGAAAAGGTCTTCTTATCTCTCCTTACGTATTTACCATTCAAAAAGCTATTCTTTATTAGTCTAATGTTATTTTCAATCAAGCCAAGAGGATAGTTATTCTCAAGGAAAATTATTTTAATCCGATTCAGTTCATTGTCACCTTCGAATCTCTTTACCCAACACTTCCACTCGAAATTGAAGTAAGCTCAACAATTCTTTGAGTTAGTTAGGCAATATACAAATTATCCCTAAACTTTTCTTCTTACAATCTCCTGTTCATTACATTTTTTTCCCCAAAGGTGTCTCCCTAATCTTTAGTTTCATAGTGTATTATATGCATAAAAAAAGTTGGGCTTCGAGGAATCTCTTGTTTCATAATTCCATTTCGAGTAAAAGTGTTTGGTGAAGAGATTCGAAGGTCGATTCCACCAAAAAACTACAGTGGATTCCTCTTGACCAGCTGTCGATTGGCTTTACGGTGACGCTGTTTCTGAGGTCATTTTCTTCGATTCCGATGGAAAAGGTTAGCACCATTTGTTCGTCATGTGGCCAACATCATCAGACCAGGGAAGTCATCATCGTCACAACCAAATTCAAGCTAAGGAGGTCTTGAAATTTTCTGTTTTTGTCTTTTTAGTTCGAATTTGGTTATGAAGATGGTACCTTTCCTGCTCTGATGATGTTCGTCATATGACGGACCTTTACACCGGAATCGAAGGAAATTACCTCGGAAACAGTGTCAGCATGAATGTTCCAGTAGAGCCAATTGCAGCTGGTCAAGAGGAATCCTCCATCGTCTTCTGGGGGAATCGACCTTCGAATCTCTTCACCAAACACTTTCATTCTGAATGGAAGTAAGCACAACACTCATAGTGCTTTCACCGTTGGATGACCTTCTTTCGGTTGCCTTGCAATTGATCTTGTGCTCAGTCTGTGCGATGTATTATACTATTTCTGATCTTTCGCTATCCATTTTCTTCATTATCGCCCGAATGTACTAGAAATCCACTCTAGATGCAGCAGGTCGCCAGAGATAGGCGTCTACAGTTTGCTCAGATTACACGGGTTTAATCAGGAAGACAAACCGTAAAGGCAATGAAAAATGTCTTC